GCTACGGCAAGGGGACTACTGCTCATGTTCACAAGTCAGGACATAGAAGAAACTGGGGTTCAGAAATCCTGCATGTGCGTGGCAAAACTCCTAACAGTAATGGGGAGGTGACAGGAGTTCGGGGAACATTTGCCCAAGGAGATAAGCTTTACCTGTGGGGCTGGAGAGAGGGCTCAGCAGTTAAGGCAAGCACTCCTCCCACCAAGGATCCAAGTTTGGTTGCCAGCACCTAGGCCAGGTGGCTCACCGCCTCCTGTAACTCCAGTTCAAGGGGATCTGATGCCCTCCTCTGGCCTCTGTGGGCAATGGTGTTTACACGTATATACAGTCATATTGACAAACGTGTATATAATACATCCCTTTGTTTAAAGCTTTAAACATTTCCTAAACTGGTTCCTCCCGTTCATTTTCACTTCTCCAAGTGATGGTTATTGTACTGACAAGTGGCTGAGTTCCAGGTGACGAGAAACGAACCATTGCCAAAATGCAGCGCAGAGAGCAACTGCCCATAACTGGGCACTGGGTGAGTTCAAACCCACTTGCTCCTTCCATCTGTCAGGGTTTTATTGTCTTTTTGAGACATGCTCTCACTCTGTAACACAAGCTGCCTCGAACTCTCGATCCTCCTTTCAGTATTGACTGAGATCGCAGACACACACCACCACACCTGGTGTCAGATTTATTTCTCTTGGCTTCCTCTTTCAATATACTTCCTGGGACCATTTTCTGGAGCCCTGTCCAGCTCAGAACAATTAAGAACTTTCAAAAATTTTAGAGTTAACAATATGTCTAAATCAACAGCAAATTTATTTTGGGTATTTTAAAAGGAAAAGAAATTACTAGTTCAATTTACAACTTCCTCTTATTCTGATGGTTTCCTGTCTATAAAATGAACTCTTCCATGTTGATCCACAGAATGAGGACAGGCTGCCATGTTCCCATCTCATAGCAGCTTTTATGTTCAGGTAACCCTGAACTACTGAACTTGGCTACAGCAGAAATATTTCTACAGTAATTCTCTGAATCTGACAAGCCGTCTCCCTCAATAAGTCTAGGAAGTTGTTATTTTATTAACTGTGCATGAAAGGGCAGGCAAATGGCCAGCTATGCAGCCCTGCAGGGTAGAACTGCAATTGTTACACACATATTAAAGGCTAAAATTTCTGCCTCTATTATGATCCACTCCTTACTTTCCAGTCCACTCTTGTTTTTTAGAGTAACTTTAATACTTTATTTAGTTATTGCTATTATCAGTGTGTACAGAAGTGTGTATGTGCCACATCTGTGTAGAGGTCAGAGGACAATTTTCAGGAGTCGGTTCTCTTTCCACTATGGGTTCCAGGGGGCAAATTCAAGTTGTCAGGCTTGTGTAGCAAGCACTTTCAACCAACTGAACCATGTAGCTGGCCCTACATTCTTCTTCCTCCTTTTTTTTTTTTTAAATATTTCTTTAGCCTGGTGTGACCTCTATGAGATAAACACCAAACTGGACTACATGATGAGTTCCACGACAGCCAGGGTTATGTAGTAAGACACTGTCTCAAAACAAACAGCAAAAAAATATGTATTTATTTTTATTTTATATGTGTGAGTGTTTTACCTGCATGTATGTATATGCCCTACCTGTATACCTGGGTACCCTTGGAGGCCAGAAGCAGGTATTCGTGCTATGTTGATTGTAGTAATTAAATATTATACAATACTCTAACCAAGACCCTTCCAGGAAGATGAACACGTGCAATAATTTCTTCAAAATATTTGAATTTATATACCTCTAGCTGACCATATTCCATAATATTTACCTATTTACAAGTCATTCTTCAATAGAGCCTGAGTGTTTTAGAGTAGCTAGCATACTGTCTGGGACAGAATGGGCTCTGAATAAATGCCCTGTGAATAAATACATAGTAGTAATATACCTCTGAAGTGTCATACAAACCAATGCAACACCAAGACCTAGGAGAACATGATGCATTTTAATTTTATTTTATGTGTATGCTCTCTGTGTGTGTGTATGTGTGTGTGTGTGTGTGTGTGTATTTGTTTTCAAACAATCCCAAGAGTCCATGAAGGCCACAAGGTGTCAAATCCCCTGGAGCTAAAGTTACAGCAGTTGTGAGCTGTCAGATCTGGGTGTTGAGAATCAAATTCGGGTCACTGGGACAGCTGCCAGGGCTGTTAACCACCAAGTCATCTCTCCAGCCCTGCTACTTCATTTAAAGGTGGTCAAATTAAATTAAAAAGTAACGGACAGCAACAAATGTTTGTTGGGGAAACAACATATGAACCATAAGGGTACGTGTAAAACTGTGTTTGAAGCTAGAAATCATGTCTCCAAATTAACTCGAAATACAAGGCTTTCTCTAGGGATTCTTCCACCAGCCATAAGTTTATTAAACTATTTAGACCAATGAGTGAGAAGAATAAAATTCAAGTCCAATTAAGTATTCAAACTGTGGACTCAACGGCTTCACAGATTCTTTCTCTTCAGTATGCAGAAAAATACACAAGGGCCCTCTGAACCACCGAGAAGGACTAAAATCATTCTTTTCCTCACAAGAGTGCAGTCAAAAGTAATTCCATTCTGCTCCCACCCAGAGTCAAAACCATCCCTCTCTCCATCCCTCCCAAAGAGTGCTATATAATAGCTGAGTGCTTTAACCGCAGGCTTTAAGAGTCTCGGATCATGACAAAATTACAATGCAGCAAAAACACTTGTCTGTGTCCACCCCCACAGCGTTCCTACACTAATTTAGCTTCCTGTCAAGTATTAACAATCAAGGGATCAGAAAGTTCTCGGAAGAGAAACTGCAAACCACTTTAATGGGAAATAAGGAAGAAAAAAAAAACAGTTCATGGATTTCACACTGAGAGGAAAGGGTTTTTCTGTCAGGGACTGCATTTACATGCAAATTACTATTTAACTAGCTGCAATTTTCTCTTCAAGTGCTCTCAATAAGCACACACAGGCACTTGCACACACAGGCACGCACACGCACACTTCTAATCAATCTCCATAGGTTTAAAAACAAAAACCGATCATGTTTACTTTAAAGGCTAAATGCCTAATCACTAACATGTTTCAATTTTAAAAAAATGTGGCTGCTGCTAACTCTACCCATGAATTACAGCTGGGCAGAGGCAAACTGTTCTGAAAAGATGAGATGTAATTTCCTGGGGGTAAAGCAAGAGGTACGGACAATCTCTAAAGATGTGTCAATAATAAAACTATTTCAACACCAAAAATTTGCTACAAACAGATAATGTGAACTATAAAGAGATCTGAATGCGACATGTGGCTAAAAGAACAGAAGGAAGGACACCGGTTCTATATCCAAATCAACTCAAAAATGATCCATTATAAAGACCTGAAATTTTAATAAGTTTTCTGAGGTTTACCAATATGCTCAAGTTTCAAAATAGTACAAATATATTAACATGTAAGTGACGTAACATGTCAAGTTGGAAAACCATGACATGAAATGACTGAGAACACTTAAAAAGAGTTTCGTTTTTGTGTTGTTTTGTTTGTTTTTCGAGACAGGAATTCTCTGTGTAACAGTCCTGGCTGTCCTGGAACTCACTTTATAGACCAGGCTGGCCTCGAACTTACAGAAATCCGTCTGCCTCTGCCTCTCGAGTGCTGGGATTAAAGGCCTGAGCCACTGCCCAGCTAAAAGAGTTATTTAATGGTAAGCTTTCTAGGGACTTAATGAGTATGAAAACACAAGTCCTGGTGGCATCCCCATACTATGTACTATGATGATTATCTTAGCTTTACAGATGAAGAAACAGAAGCACCAACTGATGGCCCAAAGTAATACACTGCAAGCAAGCAACATAAAACGGTTTAAACTGAAGTCAATCAAACTCCAGAATTCAATAACCAATGCACTGTTATAACGTGAACATCTTTTTAACCCAGTAACACTAGGTCATTGTCACGCACTAAGAAAAACACAAGCTTTTAAAACCAAACAGACCTCTGAGCATCTAGGCCACAGCTTCAACATCAGAAAAAAAAAAAAAAAAGATATGGGGGTACTATGGAGGTCAAAGTGCCAAGGAAATGATGTTTACATAGTCTAGAAGTTGCGTAAGCAGCATGACAAAGTGTGTGTGCATGCACACAAACAGCCATTTTCAGAAAAACTATCCCTGGCTTTCCACATACTTTCGAGAAGTAAAAGAAATCTCTCCAAATGGGTAATAATAACTAGGAAACATAGCAGGTTCTAAAAGCAAAAACCAGAAAACAAAAACGGACACCCCAGAAATTATCTTTCTCCTTCTCACAAATCCTCCCTCTCCCGTTAAGGACGGCACACCAGGCTTCATAACAAATATCTATGGTTCCCCACCATATTCGAGGCGTGGTAAGTACTAGCTGCACAAACAAGCTTATGCCCCTGTCTTCCTGTGACCATCGACAGAAGGTCTCTGCGACTGGGGAAGTAGGCTCAGTGAATTAAGTGCTTGCAGAACAAGCAAGACCTCAGTCTGGATACCCAGGACCTGGACAGGAAACAAGCCTGGGTAGTGGCGAGTGTCTGTCATCCCAGTGCTGGGAGGCAGAGACAGGAGTTATCTCTGGGGCTTTCTAGCCAGACAGTCTAGCGAAAAACAGGGGGAAAGGAGGGAGGAGGGAGTGTTTCAGATTCGGTGAGATACTCTTAAAACAAAACAAAATAAAAAGTGGAGAAAGGTAAAGACAACAAGCTTCTTTTGACTTCTGCTCAGAATGCACCTGCACGCTCGTGCTTGTACGTACAAGTACACACACACACACACACACACACACACACACACGATGGGGGTGTCCTGAAGCGCTGTTACATCCCTCTCTTCCCGAAGAATCGTCCACCCAGCCTCACGAAGTACTGTGCCGACAAGGAAAACCAAGCAATAACCAGAGCCCCCGGGCTGAACTACAGAGCCCCAGTGCGCCGGAGGATAAACAGAATGTATCTGCAAACTACTGGGCAGCCCAGGATTCTGACCCCGCTGTCCTCGTCCCCCTCTCTCGCTCTCCGTCTGGAACTCTGGTGCCTGCGGGTCGGCTAGGCTCTGTCTCCGGTTGGGGCGTGAAGGGAAACGTTACCCGAACTGGGGCTGCAGCGTGGCCAAAGTCCTAGCTTTAGGATCCGGGGAGGCAGGGGCCGCATCCAGCACAGTACCTGCTCTCCACCCGCCCCCCAAAACTCCCCAGTCTCGATCTCAACCGGCGTTAAAAGCCGGTTCGGAGGTTTTCCGTTTCCCAAAGTGACTTCCGCCTCCGGGTTGACCTTTGCCGGAAGCAGTACATGGATGACGTTAAAGTGTTGCGCAGTAAGTGATTCCGGAAGAAACAGGAGTGCAGCGTGAACATGGTGAGGAGAGTGGGAGAAGGAATTTTGTCGGAGGGCTTTGCGGGTATATGGGAGCTCAGCGCGTGGCCAGATGTAGCCTCGGAGCTTCCCTTGTGTTTTGTTTTTTTTTTTTTCCATGGTGGTCTTAGCTCGAAGGAACCTATGTTTTACAGAGTGGGGAAGGGTCTGGCTTGTGTTTGCGTTAAGGGAGAAGCGGCAAGAAAAATAGGAAAAGGATACTTTAAAGGATGCACTGTTTCCAGCTCTTTTAACTCGAAAATTTCCGTTTCAAGGGGAAGCAAAAGAAAACAAGAAGATATGCGACCATGAAGCGAATGCTTAGTCTCAGAGATGAGAGACTGTGAGTGGCCAGAATCAACTGATTTCTTAAACTGATCAGAGATACAGAAATCACGATGGGCTAAGTAGTAAAACTTTTTGTTTTGCTTATTATGTCTTATATCTATATTGCATGGAATTATAGTCACTCGTTCTAGAGGGTGGGGAGGATGGTGTCACTGTGTAAAAGCCAATGAGGTCCCACCATGCTTGTCTTCAGTTTCCAATTTCTGACACCCAAGTTTCAAAGGGAAATACATCCATTTTATAAATTACACGCCTAGCGCACGCCTTTAATCCCAGCACTCGGGAGGCAGAGACAGGCGGATCTCTGTAAGTTCGTGGCCAGCCCGGTCTACAGAATGAGTTCCAGAACAGGCACCAAAGCTACAGAGAAACCCTGTCTCTAAAAACCAAAATAAATAAATAAATAAAAAATTTTAAAAAAAGAAAAAACTCAAAATGTTAAAATAAGCTAGAGTGATAATTTCCCATGATAAAGAAGACCCAATCAGTTTCCCTACATCAGTTAAAGACAGGGTGAACAGTTTTTAAATAAAACCCTGCCTTTGTTGTGTTTTAAGAGTCTTAGAGGGGGCTGGAGAGATGACTCAGTGGTTAAGAGCATTGCCTGTTCTTCCAAAGGTCCTGAGTTCAATTCCCGGCAACCACATGGTGGCTCACAACCATCTATAATGAGGTCTGGTGCCCTCTTCTGGCCTGCAGACATACACACAGACAGAATATTGTATGCATAATAAATAAATAAATAAATGTCTTAGAACAAGAGAATGGTTGTTAAAGCCTTCAGAACTATTATTCTCAGCTTCTGATGTGAACTTTTATTGTATATTTTTAAGGAATGATGTCCTGCTGATAATTTCTTTGTGGTTAAGAGTTTTATATGTGTGTTATGTCTCAGGCCTTTATAAGGAATGTGGGAAAATTTTGCCCCATCCTGGTTATCTGAGGTTTTTGTTTTGTTTTGTTTTTGTTGCTTTTTGAGACAGGGTGTCACTATGTAGCTGTGGCTGGCCTGGAATTTACAATACAGACCAGACCTCAAACTCCTAGAAATCTGTCTACCTCCCTGGTGCTGGGAAGGCTATCAGGTCCAGCTTGGGATATTCAGAAGTATTCAGAAAGTAGTGTCAACCTCTTCACAGCCTCTTATAAGTAGATTTTTATTAGCATATATTAATTATACATAGTAAGTTTCTTATAATGTCTTTTGTCATAATAAACCTCCATTACTCTCTTGGAATTAATCACTGATAAATATTAAGGAAAAAGTTAATGTGTAATTAGAATTTACTCATTAACATTTTTTGAGTTTTTTGACTTTATTGATTAATTTTTATATTTTTAAGCCCCTTCCTCTTACAGTTACTTGCTGTCAAAGTGTATGTTGATATTAGCATCACAGGCACAAAACTGGATTGCTTTGATGCCTTGAAGGATAAAAGAGAAAGGAAAGACGTTGGACTGGAACTTGAGGTGATAGGGATTGAGCCCAGAGCTTCATACGTACATCCGGTGCTCTACTGCTGAGTGACGTCCCCAGAAGCTGGAACTTCCCGATGAAATTTTCACTATATCATTTTTCCTCTTCTCCGGATTTACTTTTTTACAGTAAAGAAAAGGATAGATTAAAGCCTAAAAAGAAAGAGAAGAAAGATCCCAGTGCGCTGAAGGAAAGAGAAGTGTGAGTATGAACGAACGTCAAGTTCTCATTAAAGAGATCCTAACCCATGGCTCCGTGACAGTCCAGGCTTCCTGTGACCTGAGGATTTACCAGTCAGATGGTGATTTACTAGCAGGTTCTGCACACACAAATGAAAGAGGTATTGATAGGATATACTGAAGTCAGTGCTTTGGGGGGTCTCTGAATCCCATGGGACACTAAGTTTTCCCCCATGGCACTGGGGAAAAATTTTTTTTCCTTTCAAAAAAAAAATTTCTTAAGTAATTGCCACACTAAAAAATTTCACAAAAGAAAGACTATATTGGTAAAGTTATATATTCTGGATGAAAGTCATTCCTTTAATGTTAGTATATTTAACTTTATGAAAAACTCTTACCACATCTTTCGTATTTTGCTCTGGGTTCACAGAGGCTATATTGTCACATAGATACTGGTTCACACAGCAATGTTTGAAGATCATGGATTTCTAGGTGAGCGACAGGCTCTGCTGTAATATGTGGTCCAAATGCTAAACGATCGTTTACATTCCATACAAGTATTTAGGATTTTGAGAATGGCAGACTTGCGGTAGCGTTGATTCTATTCTGATAACTGCCGTCAGCCTCTTTGTGCCCCGTAGCCATCCTGATCAAGGAGAAACCAGGTTTGGGGTAATCACGGTTTTAAAGTCGTGTCACAGCTTTTCAGTAAGCCTGATATTAACATGTGGTTAACTTCTTTTTTAAGATTCCTTTTTTTTTCTTATAGCTATGTGTGGCGTGTTGAAATAGGAAGCGGCGGCGGGGCTGCTTGGCCCATGAACTCTAGCCCTTACAGGCTAATTCTCGCACCTGGTCTAGCCCATTTCTAATGATTTTTTTTTTTTTTTTTTTGAGGCCAAGCAGTTGGTTTATTATAACTTAACCAATGAAATCAACAGATTGATATATGACACTCCCACATCAGTGGCGTGTGTTTGTGTAAGGACATGTGTGTCTGTATATGGGCATGTGCTCATGAGTTTGGGTGTCTGTGGCACTTAGCGGCATAGGGTCTCCTGAAGCTGGAATTATAGGCAGTTATGAAAACCCAATGTCAGTTGTAGAAACTGAATTCGGGCCCCCACAAGAGCACTGGGACATACTTTCAACTGCCGAGCCACTTCTTCAGGCCCTTTCCTGACTTCTTTTAAACTCTGACTTGCAATGAACTAGGGGAAGGGTCAGTTGCCTGAATGAACTTTTTCAAGCAGATAACTTCATTTTTGGTTTCATTAACATCAAAATTATTGATACAGACTTGAGCTTGTGATCTTACTTTCTTTTTCCTTCCAGCCCCCAACATCCTTCCTGCTTATTCTTCCAGTACAATACACAGCTGGGTCCACCGTACCACATCCTTGTTGATACCAACTTCATCAACTTTTCCATCAAAGCCAAACTCGACTTAGTGCAGTCGATGATGGACTGTCTGTACGCCAAGTGTGAGTATCGTACTTTGATGTTTCTGTCACATCTGGACAGAATAATCAGAGTGATCCAAATACATGAAAGAAAGGAAGTGAGGATCTCAATGAATGAACTGCCAGAATTATGAATTTTCAATAAACCCAGCACTGTTAGTTTTCAATAAGTTGAGATCTAATGCATACTTGACTAGGAATAGTTCAGTTGTCACAATTTAGAAAACAATGCTTTGACTGTTATTATTAAGGACATTAATTTTGAGCCTAGATTTTAAAATTTTGAACAAATGAAAATCTATTTTTGGTATATACATTTATATGAAGCAGGATGCGTTCTCCATTCCACTCCAAGATAGGGCAGCTCAATAAAACACTTCCATTTGTGGTCACGGGGCCGGCAGTCAGATAGTGGGCAGTTCTCACATTTGTTCAGTTAGCATTCATTTGTGCTGCCAAAGGTCTGAGGTGGTTTTACCTCAGTGTACAATTTGACAGTTACAGAGTCCCTTATTTATTTGGGTATTCCTTTGTACTTGTAGTCCTGAGTAGGAAAAAGAAAACATAAGCCATATCCGAGAGAACAGCTCCTAATAGTTAGGTATATTACATTTTTGGTTTAGGGAGGTAGCTCAGTGGTTCAATGGAGCCTTCCTAGCATTGAGAAGCCAAGTCCCCAGCACTGCCAATCAAGAAGAAGAAGCCTGGTGGTGGCACACGACTTTAATCCCAGCACTTGGGAGGCAGAAGCCAGTGGATCTCTGGCGGATCTCTGAGTTCAAGGCCCATCTGGTCTCAAACCAGACAGCCAGGACAGCCAGAGCTACACAGAGAAAACCTGTCTTGAAAAACAACAACAAAAACAAGATCAGTTACATTTTATAATTGATGGGTTTCTAGTCATAGGGTTTTTTTGTTTGTTTTTTGCTAAAAGGACAAATGACGTTCATACTGGTACTTTGCACCTCCTTTTCAAAAGGATACTACAGGCATACATTACTGTGGTTGGAGAGTTTGGTTACAGGCTCGAGAGACACTGTCTCCATCTGTGGAGCAGGTGAAGCAGCAGTGCTAATATGGGACAGTGGTAAAGTCCAGGAGCTCAAGCTAAGACAGCTGCAGAGGTCACTGTCCAAAACATCCCTGTACCGAAAGACCGTACTGAGACTTTCACACCTAGAGCAGAGACGTCCTGCTTAGTGGTTAATGTGACTGTGATATGGGATGTCCTTCTGTATATGTGTTGCTTATTTGTAAACGGAGATTGCTCATTCGTTTTCTGGTCATCTAACCCAAGTACTCACACAAAAACTACATTAATTACAGCAACAGCTTAGGCCTATTCCTACCTAGCTCTAACATCTTAAATTAACCCATTTCTATTAATCTGTATCACCACGAGGCTATGGCTTAAGCTTCTGGCGGTGTCCTCCTTTTAGCAGCTACATGGCGTTTCCCTGACTCTGCCTACTCTCTTATCTATGTTCAGATTTTCTGCCTGGCTTTACTCTGCTAAGCCATTGGCCCAAAAAGATTTATTCATCAACCAATAAAAGCAACACATATACAGGACATCCCACATCATGACTGGTGACTTTAAGCTAAAGCTAGTTCTTATTTACATTTTATAAAATCCAGACCAGAAATATAGCTCAGTAGTAGGGTGTTTGCCCAGCACGTGTGATGCCCCACGTCAATACCCAGTACCACACATACTAAAACACAAAACCAAAGAAACCTCAGCCGAAGGAAAGGGAACTGGAAAGAAAGCAGGAGCGGGAACTGGAAGTAGAGCCGAGTGTAGCACTGGCATGGTGTGCCTATGATCCCTGGGCGTGCTCTCCAGCTCTACCCCACCACACTGCAGAAAGTCCTAGGCCTCCAAAGAATCATACTAAATCCTCTCTGCATGCATAAGTAAAGAAATAAGTAAATAGGCAACAGCATACCTATTTCAATGTGGATGGTAGACATTTTAAGTCTAAGATGAGATGGGCTATTCAACCAAAAAAATTTTTTTTTTTTAATAAAACTGCTGGGAGTGGCAGGTTGTGCTGGAGAGATGGCTCAGCAGTTAAGAGCATTTGTTACTCTTGCAGAGGACCTGGGTTCAGTGCCCAGGACCCATATGGTGGCTTACAATGATTCCAAGTCCTCATCTCACCTCCACAGGCACCAGGCATGTGCATGATTGCACATATATATAGGCAAAACATTCATACACGTTAGATAAATACTAAAAAAGATTACTAAAAAAATTAAGTATACTAAGGCCAGCAAGATGGCTCATTAGGTAAAGGCACGTTCCACCAAACCTCCTGAGTTTGAGCCCAGGAGCCCACATTTTGGAAGGAGGGACAAGATTCCTTCAAGGCAGGGTTTCTCTGTAGCTTTGGTTCCTGTCCTGGAACTAGCTCTTGTAGACCAGGCTGGCCTCGATCTCACAGAGATCTGCCTGCTTCTGTCTCCGTAATGCTGGACTTAAAAGTGCATACACCACCACTTGGATAATTTAAAATTTTAAATATATAGTAATGCTTTTGAAAGATCAGGAGAAACTAAAAGTAAATTTAAATGAAGAGAACGCTAGGTCAATGAAATTAGATGATTATGGAACCAGAAGGCCATATGTACTTGAAGACTAATTTCACAGTAATAAACCCTGAGAGCATTGGGCCTACTGTGGTGTAGGGAAGTATGCTCCAAGAACCTCCGGTATCGTCAGTTATTACGCCCCACAATGGGCAGTGCTCCTCATTTTCCCTCCCCCTAAGTGACATTAATCTAGTTCTGTTTGTATAGATTTGCCTGTTCTGGGCATTTCATACATATAGGGCCTCTGATGTGACTCTCTTTCATTCAGCATGATGCTGTCAAGGATCACATAGCACATACTGTTTGATGTCTGATCATGCGTACTGTGTGTAGAGGTCACATTTTAGCTGCCTGTTCTTGGTTTTTGCATTAAATAATAAACTTTACTTTGTTTGTATATGTAGATGGGTGTCATCCTTTTAAGCTACATAGTATTCTGTTTAATATATAATATATATTTATTCATATATATTTATTCACACACACTCACACACACACACACATATATGGGGAGGAGTTTGTTGTCTTAAGACAGGATCTCATGTAGTCTGTGCTGGCTTAGAGTTCATTGTGTAGCTCAGGATGACCTTGGGTTCCTGACTCTTCTGCCTCTACCTCTGAAATGCTCAGATTATAGATGTGCATCTCTCCCATCTGCCACCCCAACCCCATGTTTTGAGGATTGAACCTAGGACCTCCTGAATGTTAGGCCAGCACTGTATCGCTGAGCTATTAGTCAGCCCACTTTTACTTTTTGTTTTGAGACAGGGTCTCACCAAATTGCCCAGGATGGCCTTGAGCTCCTTCTAGTCCATGCAGGCCTTGGACTTTTAATCCTCCTGTATCAGCATCCGGAGCAGCTAGGATCACAAGCCTTTGTCGACATACCTGACTCTTCTTTTAGTTCTTAATGATTGTTTCAGTAGACTTAGTCTGTTGTCATTGCAGAAGTCTGCAGGATTTTTACAGACTGAAATAAATATATTTCAGCAGATATCTTTATAAGTTCTGTTACTAATTTTTATGCTGTGTTTATTTGTTCCTCGCAGGTATCCCTTGTATAACTGATTGTGTGATGGCTGAAATTGAGAAATTGGGCCAGAAGTACCGAGTGGCACTGAGGTAGGAAGGACGTAGTCTAGTACACTGAAGACACTTCAGAACACCTCGTCTCTTTGCTAGTCAATGATTTCCTGAACCAGTTAGTTTAAACAAAAAAATTATAATAATAAAATAAAAGAGGCTGGAGAGATGGCGGAGTAGTTAAGAACATTGCTGCTTTTCCAGAGGACCTCAGCCCAGTTCCTGCTACCCATATTGGACACTCAAAACTGCCTGTAACTCTTTCTCCACGTCACACTGCTTGTTCTCATACAAGAATGACAGCTGAAGAGGAATAGTGAATTTTTTTCACAGGTCACTTCCTATGTAAATGCAAATCTAGAAAGTTCCAGGAAAACTCATCTTTTTACTTTTTTTACTGGATCTTACACCCACATACCCACACATACAGTTCACTAACTAGCCTGTTATTCAGCAGGTTAGCAAAGGTTCTCCTATATTCATACCTTCAATTCTCTCTCCCTCTCCCTCTCTCTTTTGTAAACAGACAGGCATAGGAAAATATATTGAGCCTTCATATTGTTGATGGGCCGTGCCATAGTGATCATCCTTTTGTGCCTGTCTTGCAGTATATTTGTGTAAGACAACTTCCTAAAATGGATTTGATTTTCAATCCTGTAATTTCTTAACTCTGTATGTTTGAGCAAATTAATGTCTGAATCTCTTTCCCTCTTTTGTAAACAAATACAAACGCCCTAGAGTTTGTGTAGTAAACGAGCTCGAGCGCTCTCAGCTCCTGATTGTAATTTTTTTTCTCATAAGATGAAAACATAATCTTCGGAGGCCAGAGGGTACCTCATAATGCCCATGTAGATTTGTTACCTTTGGTTTACTGGTTGGATGGAGAACGTTTTCTTTAATTCACTTTTACAATCCCGTAGAATCGCCAAGGATCCACGATTTGACCGACTTCCGTGCACACACAAAGGAACCTATGCTGATGACTGCTTGGTACAGAGAGTCACTCAGGTATCAGCATCACTTTTAGATGTTTACTTTGTGTTTAAAAAAACCTGGGCAGTGGTGGTGCACTCCTTTAATCCCAGCACCTGGGAAGCAGAGGCAGGTGGATCTCTGTGAGTTTGGGGTCAGCCTGATCTACAGAGCAAGGTTCAGGACAGCCAAAGTTACACAGAAAAACTTTTCTTGAAAAACTAAAACAAAGAAAAAAGGAAAAAAAAAAATATGGCAAGCTGGAGCTGAAGAGGTGGTGTTTCAGTGATCAAGAGTACTTGCTCTTGCTGAGGACCCAGGTTCAGGTGCCAACACTCACATCGGGTGGCTCACAACCTTCTCTAATTCCAGTTCTGATGTCTTCTGGCATCTGCAGACACCTGCACACACGTGTTGGATACATATATACTAAACACACATACACACACAAATATATATATTTGGAAGGAAAAAAGACACAATCTGGGTGAGGTAAAGAGGCAAAGGTAGGTAGACCTCTTAAGTTTAAGTTCATCTTGGTCTACATAGTCAATTCCAGCTATCCAATGCGAATCCCCCCAAAAAGCGGGGGCACAGATTATTACCTACCTTCTGAATATTAAGGTTCAGTAAGGTACTTAGGGTGGGTTTTTTCATGCATACATATATGAAAATATATATTTATGAAATATATATATGCATATGTATCTTTGTATATATAAAGCATATATATGTATATATATTTAGCAGTTGTTCATGATCAGCGTAGATACGATACCACTTGAAAAAGTAGATCTAAAAACACTGCTGTAACCATAATGGGAAGAGCATGTGCTTGAGAAGGAAGTCTGATTTCAAATCTCAGCCCCTTACCCATTGGAAGCAGAGGCAAATGGATCTCTGTTCAAGGATCAAGGCCAACTTGATCTATATAGTGAGTTTTAGGCCACCCAGGACTACAGAGTGGGATCCTGTCTTAAAACAAAAACAACTGCATTAACTTAGTATGTGATTTGGGACAATGATTGGATCTTTATTCAACAAATTCCCTATAACATGTTTTAAGTGAATTCATGTAGCTATAATAATATATCACATTCTACTACCCTGTGAATCTTAGATAAGGTTCCATTTCCACCCATGAAGGAATGATATTCCTCCCTACCATACCTAACTCAGAAATGTTTTCTTTGTCTGAGAATCTCCCAGGGTGCTGTCTCTCACATATGCTGGATTAATTACTTTTTGAGTTCTTCCATTCCGAACTGCTCATCAAACAATACAGGACATCTGCAATTGGTTGTACCCTTAAGAACCTTTCTCAGGCTGGAGGTGTTACTCAGTCTTAGAGTGCTGACTGGTCTGCATCAGGTCCTGGATTTGATCCCCAGCACTGAGAAAGACAGGAAGGGACGGGGAGAGCCTGATACTTGCAGAGGATAGAATGAAGAGAGGAAGAACTTGGCCCTTGCTAAAGATGACCATCTTGATTTAATGACTACTCTGCCCTTTAACAACTTGATCTATAGATGGGGCCTCAGCACAACCTCCACCTCAATGATAAAGTTTTATAAAACTCAATGGACACTTTTTTCCTTCAAGACAGGATTTCTCTGTAGCTTTGGAAACTGTCCTGAAACCAGACTGGCCTTGAACTCACAGAGATCTACCTGCCTCAGCCTCCCAAGTGCTGGTATTAAAGGCATTCACCCCCACCACCACCCAGCAGAGATTTCTTTCCTCCCTCCATTGATTGCACAGCATTGTTTTTTGTTTTTTGAGATAGGGTTTCTTTGTAGCTTTGGGGCCTGTCCTGGAATTAGCTCTTATAGACCAGGCTGGCCCCAAACTCACAGAGATCTGCCTGCCTCTGCCTCCCAAGTTCTGGGATTAAAGGCGTGTGCCCCCACCGCCTGGCTTAATAGAAATTTTTATATGAAGTAAACTAAAAATAGTTTCCAGCTGATAGTTAATGTTAAGCCAAACTGGGGTTTTGAATCTTAGGGGTCCTTCTCCTGGCCCAGGACCTGCCTACTTCCACCACTAAAGAACTTCAACATATCTCTGAGTCACAAGGAAGGAAGATCTGTGCCCTCCAATATAAGGAATTTACATGGAGTCAGTTTTTACATGGGAGTTAGTTTTCCCAAAACTAAGGAATTGTCTGCCTTAACTGTGGCAGTCCTTCTGTGTGTGAGACAGGAAACAGTTTGCAGCTTAAACACTTCCTTCTTCCCCTCAAGATTTATAAGACCACATTGAGGCCAGGTAGCTTACATATGTTATTGTATAACTATCTTCTAGGTCTTAGCATCCTTCCCTCTGCTAGTTACTGTGAAAATGAGGGACTATTCAGTGGTTGTGTGTGTCCTTTGTAAACATCAGTGGACTTCTCTTTCAGCACAAGTGCTACATTGTGGCTACAGTTGATCGGGACCTCAAACGAAGAATCCGGAAGATCCCTGGAGTTCCTATCATGTACATTTCTAACCATAGGTGAGAGGTTGCTATTAGAAAGTGACTAGAGGCACATGGTTGGTCATCAGTTAAAGTGAGAGAGGGTTATAAAGTTAGAGAGGATTTCCAAGAAGTGACACTATCCTGTTTACATCTAAAGTTGAAGAAATGAGACAAAATAGCAAGAATAAAAGCAGAAGATAAAGATAGGATTTAGGAATGAAACAAACATCAAATTGGTAAAATAAGATTATTAGGAGTGCATGTATTACTTTCTATAAAACATTTTAAGTCAAGCTCATCCTTTTAGGTAGAAATATCCTTTTTGTAAGATTTCTGTGGGGTGCTTAATCTTCAGCATGGAATAAAACTGGCCGTGGTAGAATACCTATAGTCCCAACACTGCGGAAATAGTCACCAGAAACTCAAGATCATTCTTGCTACTCAGTGCATTTGAGGCCATCTCAGAGAGAGAGAATATTTTATTAACACCTCATCTTGGAAACTAAATGTTTATTTTAATAAACAAAACAGTTCTTTATTCTTCTTGGATGTTTCCATGTCTGTCCTATAAATACTACTGTGCCCAGCTTTTCCATTTGGGAAGAGCACAGTAAAAATATGGGCTGATTTAGGCTAACCTGGACCCAAGTCCTAGTGGCCCCTTGCCAATGCTGTGACTTTGAAGAACGAGGTAATGTAGTCAGCATTTTGGTATAAGCCATTCATTGTGGGGTCCCTCTAAAATAGTTACCACCGATAAGGTTTGAGAGTACAGGGTGGGGGTGACTCAGACGAATTCTGTGCCATACCTTTTTTAACAGTGTCTGTTTTTCTTCCTGACCAGGTACAACATTGAAAGGATGCCAGACGATTACGGAGCTCCTCGGTTCTAATTCTTCCCTGACCACATTCACCTGCGTTTCTTTACCAGATTTCTCTGTCAGTTAATTAAACACACTTTTTGTTGTTGTTGTTGTTTTTTTATCATATTTTGTCTCAGTTTTAAAAATAGCTGCATCTTTAAAAAATTATATTATTAAAATGTGTATATGTATGTTTGTGTGTGGGCATGTACATGTTAGTGCAGGTAACTTTGGGGGCCAGAGGCCTCAGATCACCTGCAGTTACAGAACTGAAGTTACAAGATGTCTGAGAACTGAACTGTCCTCTGGAAGACCAGCCAGTGCTCTTAACTCTTAACCACTGGGTCTTCTTTCCAGCCCAACTACATCTTTTTATGAGTGAGATGCTCCAGGGGGTGTTCACATAATTTGATTTACTTAGTGTCTTAGTCAGTGCTCTGTTGCTGTGAAGAGACACCATGCCTACAGCAGCTTTTTTTTTCCTTTTTTTGGGGGGGGGGGCGTTCAGGACAGGGTTTCTCTGTGTAGCAGCTCTGGCTGTCCTGGATTTGTAGTCCAGACTGGCCTCGAACTCACTGAGATCTGCCTGCCTCTCACGAGTGCTGGGATTAAAGGCATGCGCCACCATGCCCAGCGACAACTCTTATAAGGGAAAATATTTCATTGCAGCTGGTTTATGGTTTCAGAGGTTTAGTACATTATTACCACGGAAGCATGGCAGGGTGCAGGCAGACGCGGTACTGAAGAAGTAGCTGAGAGTTCTACATCCAGATCAGCAGGCAGCAGGAAGAGAATGAGACTCACTGGGCCTGCCTTGAGTATCTGAAGCCTCAGAGCCCATCCCCAGTGACACACTTCCTCTGACAAGGCCACACCTCATAATATTGCTACTCCCTGTGGACCTAAGAGGGGCATTTTATTCAAACTTAGCAAACCTTTAAATACAATTTTAGAGAAAATATTGTTAGGGTAACAATATCAGGCAAGTTGAGGACAAGTTTTGTTTTAAAAAAAAAAAAAAAAGAGAAGCCTGGTGTGGTGAGTGTTATGGTTTAAGTAAAATGCTGGAGATCCCCGAGGGGTGCAGTGGCAGAATCACTGCAGGTCCCTGAGTGGTGGCAGTGGGCAACGGCCGTGAGACCACGCCACAGGTCCTCAAGCAGCAGCGGGCCGTGGGTACTGTGACCACAGCAGTCCCAGGCAGGGAGCCTCCCAGTGACCTGCAGGCCATGAGGGTCATCAGGTCCTAGGCACGGAGCTGCATGGTGGGTGAGAGACCGAGGTGGGTAGGCATGCCATGCAGAGGAAGTGAGTATTTATTTAGTGGGTTATGGAGGGGAAAGAGAAAGTTGGGAGAAGAGAAGAGAGAAACGGGAGGTGGGGAGAAGTGGGAAAAAGGGAGTAAGGCAGAAGCTGTCTCAGAGAGAAAGAGAGAGGAGACTCAGACTGAAAGCTGAAGACCAGCTGGCCTCAGTGGATGGGGGGCATGGCTTATCTCTTAAAGGGACAGGACAGACCATTACAGTGACCATACTTAATCTTAGCACATGATGCAAGTGGATCTCTGTAGGTTCAACACTAGCTTGGGCTATATAGTGAGGTCCTTTTAAATGAATTTTTACTTTAATAAGATATAGCCTTTGATGAGAAGAGCCTTGTGCTTAGGACATCTTTTGAATTGTTCCAGTTCAATGAATCAGGTTCCTCTTTTGTTTTGCTATTTTTGCTTTTTGTTTTTGTTTGTTTTTCTTGAGACAGGGTTTCTTTGTAGCTTTGGAGCCTGTCCTAGAACTCACTCTGTAGACCAGGCTGGCCTCAAACTCACAGAGATCCCTCTGCCTTTGCCTATCAAGGGCTGGGATTAAAGGTGTGCACCGCCACTGCCCTGCTTCAGGTTCCTCTTTGATAGTGATAATCTATTTGACAATTATATGTGCTTTCAAACCTGTCTCCCTTTAAGATTGACTTGCTTTTTTCCAGCTGCATACTTTTCATATCTTTTGGCTCTGGTAAGCAGTAACTATGCCACAGCCTGATTGCTATCCTGTCTTGAAATTTCCTCCACTTAGCAAATCAGTCCATTGCCTGTATGACTGCATCCCCACTCAAGCTGACAGGACACAAGCACCATACAGTCAGAATGTCAGCAGCAGTGGTAGTGGTGCTTTAATCCCAGCACCCTGAGGCTGAATCAGGTGGATCTCTGAGTTCAAGGCCAGCCTGGTCTACAAAACAAGTTCCAGGGCAGTCAGAGCTACACAGAAACCATGTCTTGGAAAACTAAAACCTCCCCCTATCCCCCAATAAAAGAATACTGGAACAAGAATGGCTTCTTTCCCTATCCCCAATAAAACAATACTGTAACAATAGCTTCTTGCCAGCTCCCAACAGTCATGTTCCCCTTTGAAACTCATGAGTCTGGCCTTCATGATGTTTTTCTTGGCATTCTAGTCTTCCAAACTCCCAACAAAACATTCCATTAAGTTCTGCTTACAACTTTCAAGAGCTTTTCTAGGTTAGTTATTGTAAAGGTAAAAGTAAAATGCTGCGACAGAAATGCTGCAGATCCCCAAAGAGCCCTTTCATGCACTAGGGATAAATACTGGTCACTGCTAGTGGCCCCACAAACTGCCCACGCCGCACTACTGTCACCCACATCAGAGCGCCTACTAGTTTGGTCTTATATTCTTTCCCCAGCTGTCAGTCCAGGGTCGGTGCTCTCCCACTAGCTCTAGTTCTACAATCCTCTTAAACAAACCAGTTCCAAAACATGATCAAGTTTATCCCTGCTAATTTTCTGAGTTACATGCCTTGTTGCTGTGACTAGAAGCAGCTTACGGATGGGAAAGTTTGTTTCAGCTTACAGTTACTTACTGTGGAGAAGGCGTGGTCACTCTGCATCAGCAGTGGGGCAGAGTGTGGACACTACGATGCTCGGTGGGTGCACTTTCCTTTCATCCCAGGAGTTCTCAACCTGTGGGCTGTGGCCCTTTTGGAGAGGCAAGTGACACTTTCACAGAGGTCACCTAAGACCATCAGAAAGCATAGATAATTATATTTAGATTCATAACAGTAGCAAAATTATAGTTAGGAAGTAGCAATAGAAATAATTTTATGGTTTGGGGTCACCACAACATAGGGAACTGTATTGAAGGGTCACAGCATTAGGAAGACTGAGAACCACAGTTACAGTCAGTCTGAGATCTCTGCCCATAGAAAGGTGCAACCCTTCTATAAGGTGAATCCGTCATACCTCAATTATCCTAATTCAGAAACTTTCAGAGAGCTAATTCTAAAATGACAAAGACTAACCATCACAACCGGGTGGTGGTGGTAAACGCCTTTAATCCCAGCACTTGGAAGGCAGAGGCAGGCGTATCTCTGTGAGTTCGAGGCCAGCCTCGTCTACAAGAGCTAGTTCCAGGACAGGCTCCAAAACCACAGAGAAATCCTGTCTCGGGGGGAAAACAACAACAACAAAAAACACAAAGTGCATAAACTAAGTACTTTAGCTTGAAGGATTTTTCTAAACTGAACTACCTGTGTAACTGATTTACCCAAAGTAAAAAGCAAATATTTAGGTGAGCATGATCGCACACTTCAACAATTTCAGAACTGATGAGGCAGAAACAGGAAGGTGAGAAGTTCAGGTTCATCTTTGACTATATAGTAAGTTCCAGGCCAGCTTGGGGTATATGAATCATCATCTCAACAAGCAAAATGAAGGGGCAGGGTTAAAAAAAAAAAAGTTCACTGGTGACCTGCCTCATCACTATTTGTGTTAGCAGACATTCTCTAGAGACTAAATAAATAGGAGAGAGAGAGAGAGAGAGAGAGAGAGAGAGAGAGAGAGAGAGAGAGAGAAAAGGAGAAGGAGATCGTTAGCTTACAGTAGCTAACGCCCATTCTCTATACTTCATGAGGACTCACCAGGATAAGAACTGTCAGCCAGGGTGGTGGTGGCCTTCATCCTTAATCCTAGTACTTGGGAGGTAGTGGCAGGTGAATCTCTTTGAGATCGACGACAATAGAGTTCCAGGACAGCTAGGACTATTACACAGAGAAACCCTGTCTCAGAAAGAAAGAAAGAAAAAAAGACCTTGTGTTAGGAAATTTTATAACACGAGCTCTCTGCCGCTGCAAAAATCCCAATCAAGCCAAATGACAACCAGCCAAATTAAAGAATATCCAGGTTTAATGGAATTTCTGCGCTATTGGGTGGCCCTGAGAGGGAACCGGGAAGCCACAAACGACAGGGGCGGAGGTGAGGGCAGGGAGACTTTCAGGGTAGTAGTTTAAATAGACTGGGGGAGTGGTCAAGGTTTGGCAGGCACAGGGGCAGGGCCTCCAAAGATGGAGGCCTGAGACCAGGATTTATACCTTGGTTAAAAGGAACCAGACAACCTCTGTTTTACTGATCAAGAGTTTACATTTGGAACCAGTCGGGCGGTGGTGGCGCACTCCTTTAATCCCAGCACTTGGGAGGCAGAGGCTGGCGGATGTCTGTGAGTTCGAGGCCAGCCTGATCTACAAGAGCTAGTTCCAGGACAGGCACCAAAGCTACAGAGAAACCCCTTGTCTCGGGGAGAAAAAAAAAAAAAAGAATTTACATTTAGCATTGTCTCTTTGAAAGCTTAATTAAGATGTTTTGGGGATATGTAAATCAACTTGCTAAGGTGTAAGATGCAAAAGGCTATCCTTGTGCCTCTGTACTTCTTCCATGGGCTTTTGTGAACACCCACACCCTTTATACAGCAGGTCTGTCTGCCTTGTGGAGTGATTTCTGCCACCAAGTCATTCGGAGTAACATCTTTTTTTTTCTTTAATTACTTCTTCAATTGAGCCTTCCACATTCAATTAATTGAATTCTCTAACTGTTTGGGACAATCTTTTCCCTCCAGGTTTTGTTTACTTTTGGTTAATTGCAGCTTCCATCTGCATGCCCTTGGTAAACACCTTCTGCCTGCCTGCATTTAAACCAAGAGTGCCTCAGGCACCTCAGCTTCCAGAAAGCGTAGAACCCTCATTCTCACAGTAGAATCTGGCCACCCTGCTTATAATTAGTGTTCAGTTTTGGTTTTCTCCCATTTTTGCCTTTTTCCGCAGGATCTCATTACATAACACAGGCTAGGCTGGAGAATGCTTTGTAGGCCACGTTCAGATTGGATTCTTCTGCCTCAGCCTACAGAAT